AAATTAAGTTTTGGTATGGTTATTTACATGTATTAAATTGGATTTATTGCATGAGAATTGCAACTTTCGTTTTGTATTTAACTTTAGTGAAGGTTTAATTCGCATGGTCGTAAATTGAATGAAATAAACTTGTAATGTGATATTACATTAGTCCTTGGCATGTTTTCCAATATAGGTTAATTTGAGAGCATTTGGTTAAGTTTAAAAATCAAGAGATTTTAATTAAAATAATTAATTAAAATCTATTTTGTGGTCCCATTAGCTTAATTAAGGTTTTAACTTGATATTTGTGTTGGCCATGACTTGTTTACTAGTATATATTAATTTGGGACTATTAGAAGTTGTTTTAGAATCTTGGTAATTAAATTAGCATGATTTAATTAAAGTTCTACTTTGTTATTCCAACAACCTAATTGAGTTTTAGAATGGATATAGGTGATGACCATGCCATGTCCTTTAACATGTATTAAATTGAGGTTATTTGGAATTGAATCGGATCTAGAGAATTTAATTGTGTTTATCTATTTAAATTCTATCAATTTGCTCCATGATCTAGTTGTGTTTTAGAAGTGGTTTCTATATTCAAATCATGGACTTGGACTTGTTGTATATTCATTTGATTATGTTTTGAACATTGGATAACATAGTTGCTATGTTTGTATTCATGAGAATATGTTTTCTTTATTGAATATATTGTTGCCTTGTGTAATGATTTGCACACTTCGTGTTTAACATCTTTCATGCATAGCGTGTAACGAATTGCACACTGAAGATTCGATATTCATCATATCATATTAGTTGTGGATTTAGAGCATGTATTGTATAGGTTTCCAAATTTGGTTGTGCTTAGTAGATAGTTTATTATCTTGCATATTCCTGTTGATATATGCGTTGTTGCACAACTTGTTGATTTTGGAAACTTGGGGATGTCGTTGTTTGACTATGGCTAGGATGTGGTTCTAGTACGGGGGATAGTCCCTCTATATATAGTCTAGTGCGCACATAGGGAGGTTACCCATGGGCTAGTAACCCTAAAGTAACTATGTTGTCGGTCTGATTCGGCGTGACGTCCGAGTATCCCCTTTGTTTGATTTCGTATTTCATTTTCAAGTTGATAACTAGATGATGTTGTAACTTGTTGTTTCTTATTTGTCGTTCCATTTTAAGTTACAGAATGTTAACTTTGCGAAATTGTGCTTTATGCATTGTATTGGAAGTTCCAATGTTGATTAAATTGCATCGATATTGAAAATCTTGTTTTGACGTTCTAATAAAGCTTAGGATTGCTCTTATTGATTCATTTATAATATAGACGTTAGGTGGCATGAACCACTACTGTTATTTTGTGCTTTAGATTCTAAGTTGATGGCTTTGAGAACTTAAACCTTGTTACATTGTATAACATGCCCTTTTGTTGTTGAATTGCATGGATAATGTGATTCTTATTAACTTGTATTCAACTATGCTTTTGTTATGTTGTATGGATTACTCTAGACCTAGTTCAATTGTATTGAAAATGCAATTCATGTTAATATATGCTTAAGCATTCTTCTTGTCGTGTTCTTTAGATTATCCCAACCATGATTCGTTTCATACATGTATGTATATCATAATTCTTGTTGCTTAGACTCTAAGGTAGCTTAGGATGCTCCCCGAGTCTCACTTGGACATAGACGTTAGGTGGCATGAGCCCCTTTAACATGTTTCACCTTAAGGTGATAAATTTGTAAAATGCTAGGTCGATGCATGCTCATCTCCTGCGAGTAGCTTTATGTTACTCACCCCTACGATACTGGGGCATATTTCAGGTACGAAGATTTGGTTCATGAAGCCTAGCATTCCTTGGATGTCGAGTAGCTTTCAAGTTTCCATTTCATGCAAATGTTAGCATGAAATGTCATTTTGTAGACTTATATGTCAAAATATGTATGTTTGATTCCATGTATGTAATGTGTACTTAAGTACACTCCTTTCAATGTATTTAATATGTATGAGATGAGGCCAATGACATGTATATTGTATTTTATGCAACTTTTTAACTTCATGAAATGTTATGAAAAACTTGAAAAATCGCAAGTCATTCCTTCACCACGGTTGCATCGGGTGTGGGAATTCCATTTTCATTCTTTTATAGGGTCTTATTAATCTTGTATGAAGTGTGGCCAAGGGCCAAACGGTTATTTGATCCCGTTTTGTATTTTTGGATTCCATGTTTTCCATTCCAAGTCCATTTTTGCCTTTTTGCTCGTTGGGGGGTCGGATTTTGCATCGGCTATATTTTTAAGCCATGGACCATTGTAGCGCGTCTAAATAGGTAAGTTACATTTGCGTGCATAGTCGTTTCCGGGCAAAACCTCATCGTTTGTGTTTTGAGCCTCTTGTGAATTCATTTCGCATTTTTTTTGCATATTCTGATCTAGGTGCATTATAGACCTTTCACCTCAGTTTTATTTTCTTCTTTCAACATGGTCGCTTAGAAAACGTGATTTAAGGGGAGGTTTCTTTTTCGTGTTTTTCCAGAAAAGGTTGTCTTGGTACCGGAAATCCCTCGTGAAGTTTCAGCTTCCAGTTTTCATTTAGCAGCTTTATGACCCTCTTGTTTAGTTCTGATCTAGGGGCATTTTGGGGATTTCACAGTGAGTTTTTTTCGATTCCGTTTGCGGGGTTGGGTAGAAAACTCGATTTTAGGGGGGGGTTTCTTCTTCGTATTTTTTCAGAAAAACTCGTCTTGACCTTCGTTTCAAGCCTCAGTTCTGGGCAGATAAAAAAAAATGTAGCAGCCAAGGGCTGCCACCAGCCATGTCTTTAGGGGCCGGCATGCACGCCGGTGGGCTCGCGCATGGGCGCTGTGTGCGCCATGGCCCCTAGTCGGGCCACCGCGACGTCAATTTTTTTTTTGGGCTTTTCTCCTTCGTCCGGACTCCGATTTAAGTGAATTTTTTTTTGAACTTGACTAATTTTTCGCTTTCTTTTCAACGGTGTGCTCGGTTGCACCCGGTTCTTCGTAGATAATTACCAGTTTACCCTTTTTGCTTTAAGTGCTCGTTTTTCTTCGTCATGCTGTTTCTCTTTCGTTCGGACTCCGAATCATGCGATTCTTGAGTCCATCTTGATTAGTTTTTCGTTGTCCTTCCAGCGGTATGCTCGGTGGCACCCAAATCTACAGTTTTCAGAAATGACTATTTTGCCCCTAGGGACTTATTTGTTATATTTTCGATCTTTTGCTTCCGCATCAGTTCTTGTTGAGTTCTACGACCTCATGGAAGGTCACTTTGACTTCTTAGAGTCTTGTTTTCTGTTTTCACTTTCGCATTCGGATCCGTTATCGAATCATCCTTACGGTTCATCACAGGACACGCTGGCCTAAAAACCAGGGTCGTCACATTAAGGGCCCATTTGGCAACCACGTTTGTTTTGTGTTTTTGCTTTGACTCGAAGCAAAAGTAATGTTTCGACTTTAGAGTGTTTTCAACACTATTTTGAATCTTGATTGGTAACGTAAATTTATTGCAAGATTTTTGGAAGCAAAAACATAAAAATATATTTGGTAAAAAGTGTTGCAAGTTTGAAAAATTGAATTGCTAGTTTAAAATGTTATTTTAGAAGAAAACACAAATATTGAATAGTGCTTTGCTAAGCAAACAAAAATAATTTTTATGCTTATGATTTTGGCCTTAATTTTTGAAATACTGCGGTACTATTCAAATTACAACAAACGTTACCAAACATGCTTTGTGTACACTAATAAAAATAAAAAAACACAAGCAAAAGCATTGGCCAAACTGGCCTAATAGATCATCACATTCTCTACAGTAAAACTAACCTATTTTACTTGGATGCGTATCTAAGCTAAGCCCATCTCGATCAGCTATATATATATGAGGCAAGGTACCTAAAAGAGTCAATTTCTGTATCACATTCCTTTCGGCCCTGAAGGAACCATTGCTAAGTTAAAGTCTTAATTTGAAAGGAGAGCTAGGGTCTTTACGTACCTTTAAAAAAAAGGGTTTCTGAAATGAAACGAAAAGCTGGTTAGTTATTGCATCATATCTTCTTCATATGTGCTGTCATTTTGGTGGCGGTCTTCTAATTTCGAAGTCCATAATCATCAACATTTTTTTTTTTTTTCAAAATTCAAACCCGACCCACCTCCATGAATTGGCACCGTCCACAAACATACGAGACATCAATTTACCAAAATATCAAAACTTACTTCAAGAAATACACTTCTTTTACATTGATTTTTCAAAGTACAAACTTATTTTGGTACATCCCAAAGTGTTACTGTATATCATGTGTTCGCAAGCTCTCTCTCTCTATTACACACACACACACACGCATATATATATATATATATGTATATACATAAGAACTCTCAGTCCTGTATGCCTGTATGGTATGTCCCTGCCTTGAACTCCACTCAGAAAATCAAAGGCTACAACAATCCATGCAAATTACCAAAAACAAGTACTCCATTTAGACACTAATATTTTGGAGATGATATTAGCATTCCAAAAAATCCTATCATTTCAGCAACTTTGATATTTAGATTCAAGTAGTTGAGTAGCAGAGACTTTTTCTGGAACCCTAATATCACATCCCAATATATTATATTCAACTACTTGTAACCCTGTTGGTCCCTCTGTGCTTGTCACTCCAAGCAGCACAACGTACCAGTAATCCCTTGAAAGGGGATTTTGAAAATGCCATTAAAAAAAGTGCTGTGCTACAAATGATGACCATGTGAGAGTGTTGTATTTGTCATTTTCAGACTTTTTATTCAAACAATCAAGCATTCTATGAACCAAAATCATTATAAACCTAGGCGCAATCAAGTGGGCAAAACCCAATATACGCTATAAAGGAAGATGGTGAAACCCCACCATCTCCTTTCACCTCCATCCCATACCATCCTATGGGCAGTGATTATTATTTCAAGTTTATGATAAATCAACTGTATGGTAAGCGAAGGCGCTGTTTAGCTTTATGGGAACATAAACTTAAATAAAAAGTGACTTTCTAGATTTCAGAAATTTCAACAATTTTGACTTGTACAAAGAAAACATACAACGAGTATAATATCCTTTCAAGCATCTCATTGAAAGGACACCACTCAGGAAGATTTTCACTACAAGAAGAAAGAAAAACAATATACCTTTACCAGTTCCAACATCTGCAAGGAGGTATTACCATTACACTGAAATGCCAAAATGATCCAGACATCGTAACTAGAGTAAAACTGAACTTATATTCTTTCAGTGGATCTCAGCTTACTGGTCAGCATTGATTCCAAAAATACGGACCTTGTGCATGTGTGGGAACTTGGCAACCACTAGCACGAAAACTGCCAGTGTGTTCAAAAAGAGCATTGGGTGTTGGTAGTCTGTCGTGTGTGAGGCTATCAAGTACCTGCCAAACCGAACATAAGATAAGCATCAAGTTTTCTATGTCTAATCTCCTAAAATGGAACCATCCCATTTGAGGAATAGCAGATGCAAAATGATCCAGATAACTCACACTCATGCTGCAATCTGTAATGAAATGATGCATTCTATGAGATGAAGGGAGAGCAACCAATGGGTCGGTGGCCTAGCGGTATCAGGCCCTTACTTCCCAAAGGGAGGTCAAGGGTTCAAGCCTTAGTGGAAGCATGCGTGTGTTAGTACCAAAAAAAAAAAAAAAAAAAAAAAAAAACCAATGAAGGGAGAGCAAGGCCAGCTTATATTATAAATTCCCTCAAAAAGATGATAAAAATTATTCCACAGCATTCATGAGAATGAAAACAATCTGGTACTGTTCTTATAGAAATAAAATATATGGAAGAGAGTAAGTAAAATCTGGATTCATTTTTTTTAAAGTAATTTTTCTGAAATATCCTTAATAGAAAATAGAAGAATTTTTTACATATGCTAAAAAACCAAAAGAAAAGTTTGTTCAAATGAATCCACTTGAAATAAGAGTCTCAATGAATAGGGGGGAAAAGAAGCTCATCTATAAACAATCTTACACCTCATGAACCCCAAACTTTGAGATCATGCATTACTCAAAGGGGATTTGAATCTGTAAATTCCTCATGAACCCGAGACTTTGAGTTCATGCATTAATCCCAGGGTATTTGAATCTGTAAATTTGCATTTTGAGGCATTTTTATTCAGCCTCGTCTTAAAATAAGTCTCATATGTTCAAAATATTCCAAACCAGTAAGTCTCCAAGAAACATATCAAAACTCTAGAAGGAACAAAGCATACAAGAAAAAGGAGAATGACAGACATGATGGCAAACAGAGTTAATATTTTTTTTTTCTGGCCTACAAACAGAGTCTAACTAAGAAACACAATAACAAATACCCATCCGTCCCACAAAAATTGACCTTTTTTGGGAACCTAACTTTTAAAGAGGGTAGTTTTTAATTTTTTTTTTTTTTTTTATATTTATTATAGTGGTAGAGAATGAATTTCCAAATGTACCCTTCTATGGTGGGTCCACATGCTTTTATAACTTCACGGCAAGGAGGGTAAATTAGGAATATTAAAAAAAATAGTACATTATATTCTGAATTGGGACAGCCAAAAATGGAAAGGTGGACACTTTTTGTGGGACGAAGGGAATATACTATTACTGAAACATATGGGACCCAATAATTAGATATCCAAGTATATGTGCAAACTAAATGAAGATTGCTAAAACAAATGTGTAACTTTCGAACATAAAAAATTTAAGATGGCAATGCCATAAGATAGATTATATATATATAGTTCCAACATTTATTTCAAAAGACAGATGAAGACTGCTAAAACGTGTACCTTTTCAACCAATATGGATGCCCGACAGCACATTTATCAAAATGTATTTTCTTCATGTATTTAATTTCAGTATCCAATTCAAAAGGCCTATGTTACGAAATATTACTTACAGGACTACAGGTACAACTGTCAAAAACTTTCTGTTGCGAGTGAGCTGCTTGCCACTATCTATTTGCTCCCACCATGTCAACCGATTGTAAATGCCCTGGTCATCAGAAAATGGTGTTCCTTTCTTCCAGTGAAAGAAGTGATATGTGACCTGAAGGAGAGCATAATTGCTATTAGTAATATACAAGCGCACACAGGCACTTAACAGACACCTTGACAAAATACATCAAAATTATGTAAGTTGATGCCGTATAGGATACTTCAAAATACTATTGCAAATGTTCAGGAAGTCCAGAATCCAACTATCGTAAATTTTAAAAATCGACTGGAAGTTTCGAGTACAAATTGATGTCTATGTAAACATTGGTTAGTCCATGACATAAGTAAAGAAGTGTTTTGAGTTTAGCATATTTATAACAAACTATAATTGTGTTATCTGCTAATTGAAACATGCCTCGCCACTGGCATTCATATCAATTCCCTCCAAATGACTACTTCGGAAGTAACTCAATGCAATAATAACCTCCTGTCCTTTTATTTATTTAATTTGTTCTTTTTGTACTTCAAAAAGTAAATGAGAAGGTAGGGGTGGCAATATTTGACACGACACGAAATAAGTGGGTTTGGGTTTAGATTAATCATGTTCGGGTCATAATCGTGTCGACCCGTATTGACACGGTAATTAAATGTGTCGTGTTCGCGTTTGACCCACTAACCCGTTTATAACCCAATTAACCTGTTTAGCTAAACGTGTCGTGTTCGTGTTAAAAATAACCCATTTAGCTAAATGTGTTATATAAACATGTCGTGTTCATATAAAAAATGACTTAAACGTGTCTTATCGTTTGGTTTCGTGTCGTGTCAACTCTTTGTTTTGTGTTGTGTCTTATCGTGTGGTTTCATGTCGTGTCAACTCCCTGCATAGTACAACATAGCATGGAGTGGTCAGCCGATTTGAGGCAATTTGAAAACCTTGCCGTTCAGCCATCCTCAGCGGTGGTAATATACCTATTAAATAAATACATAAAAAGTAGAAGCAAATATTAAAAGGCACAAGATGTAAGTGAGATGAAGCTGCTTCCAGTTTGTGAGTCACTACAGGGTCATATTGCCTTTTAAGCTTTTTCAGCAAGGCTATAGAATTAAGAATTCTGGTTTCAATAAAATATATTAACTCCATCAATGAGTAGTGAGAACTCAATATGAGCACAACACATATCTAAGTTGCATTTCCATTGAACAAATAATTTGTTGAGCACAACACATATCTAAGAGAGAGACAAATCATGCTAAAATATCAGTTGACAAAATCAAAACAACTGCTATTCACAAATCACAAAATCTGTTGCAGTGGCAACCCGCTGCTAGTTGCCCTTTCCAGCAACAAAAAACTTTAAGGAAAAAAAAGAAAACATTACTATGAATAGCTTCACTAATTTTATCATGATCAACTTATTAGGTAGTGTGTTATTTTGTAGCAACTCTACCAATCTCCAATTACCATTTCCAAACCATCAATTCACCTTAGCTGGAACCATAGCGAAGTTGGACGCCCTCCAAACTTTCCTACTTGAACCACAACATCATTTTCTATAATGTGAACCTTGCCTAGGGTGGTATGCCTGCTTCCACATTATTATCTGGAGGCTTTTCAAGTCTACCCATTTGAAACCATGATATCTCTACCTTGCCAGTGAACTTGTAACTGTCTAAATCCAATTCGGAAAGTGAGATCGAAACCTTTCAAGAATTTGATATTAAACTTTGCACTTGAAACACAAAATTTGATACCATTTTTCAGGAATTTGAAGTGCCGGAAACTCACAGACCATGAACGAATGTATAATTAAGGAAAGTAAAATAATTAAAAAATAAAATAAAATAAAGATCAAACTACACCCTAAAACTATTTAAGAATTTATATGGTTACGAATATGCCTATGTCTACAGGCAATCTGGCAAGAAAATGATTTACAAAAAACTGGCATATTACAACATGAGAAACAATTTCTGTCACCCAGTGAGAATCTCCCACCATCTCTCCCTCGCAACTCACAAAAATGGGAAATTCCCGTTATACCACCACTTGTTGCTTCCTTGAAAAATACTTCCCTTACATGATCACGCACCAGACCAACACATGATGGTGCCTCTAACTCTCAGTATGTCTTGGGAGTTGCAACACTAATAGAGAGGGAAGAGGGACACACAAGGCACTTTTGTCAGCTAAAGGACTACATGGTTCTCACTCACTCACTTTGCACGAGCCTCTCCTTCCCAAAAACATAGGTAACTTAATAATCATATTTTAGTTGCTCCCTAAATAATCCTTTAGAAACAAAACATTACCAATATCTGGTAATTTTCTGTCACCAACCAACAAAACCAACAAAACCAATAAATATAAATGATCAGCAGAAAAGGAAAAAGGAATTCTCAGCTCATAACTATCAATCATAAACTCTTTTCCAGGAATTTTTTTAAAAAAAATAAATAAATAAATAAAAAAACCCTAAACCCTAACCAAAATTCATGATAATCGTAGGAAACTATCCATAGTCAGCTCAACCATGAACCAATTAATGAAGATTAAGAAACTTAGAAACACAATCCAACATTCATTAATGAAAAATCACAACCTCGTAGCTGTAATAATAATAACCCATAAATCAGATCAAGCAATCAAGTATAAATTAGAATAAAAAAAGCCCCAAAATTCTCAAAAAATAAAAAAAAACAAAAAAAATAAAAAAAAAACCTAGAGAGAGTAGATAAAAAATGAAAATTCAATTGAATATTGAGGTTGCTTACGAGAAAATGAGAGAGATGAACAACGGTCCAGGCCATGCCAGGGGAGCAACCGAAGAAGGAGAGGACAATGAGCCATGAAAAGAATAGGATGAGTATGTAGGTCGTCCACACTCCTGGGTACGTGAACCACTCCGTGTTCCTGTTCAGATCCGTTGGTGGCACTGCTTGAACATACAAATTCGCCATCTATTTCTCTCTCTTCTTCTACAACCTAGTTTACTCACTTCAATCCATACTACACAATTCAATTTCCTGCTCTCTTTCTCTCTCTAAGATATATATATATCTATATATATATATAAATAAATATGTATGTATGTATGTATATAAATATATATGTATTGATGGTTTTGCCTGTGTTGTTGCAGAATAGAGGGATGAAGTGGGTTTGTGTTCCTACCAAAAACGAATGACAATTGAAAGGATATGAGCGTCGATTAATGCGGTAACCAAAACAAAAGAAAATTCATGTGAATTGCGAAGTGAGACGACAATTGGTTGTTGTATATAATATAATATTAATATATGGGTTGGAGTGGGACCCAGGGGAGTTGATATTTGTTTTACTAATTATTTTCTAATTACACTTGTGCCACTGATAATTACAATTGGAACTTGGTTGGTGTGGGAGACTAAGACTATTATACAATAAGAATATCCCCACAGTATGATAAGGATAGTCGACTTAATGGGTATTTATAAAAAAATAAAAACAAAATAAAATAAGGATAAGGATAGTCGACTTAATGGGTATTTTTGTAATTTTATAAAAATAATTTTTTAATTTAATATTAAATAATTATGTCAAATTTGTTATTTCACAATTTATTTAACTAGTCATATTAGAATATTAAGATAATGTGATCATTTTTTTAAAAATAAATACTTTTTTTTAAATATGTTAGGGGTCTATAATTAAAGTTTAAAAATAGCGAGGATTTTTAAAATTAACCCAAAAAAATTGTCTTTGCCAAAAAAAAAAAAAAATCAAGAAAGACAATTTTTGTTTTTTTTCGAGTAATGAAAATATTAACAATTGTGACATTCCACATCATTTAATGAAAATTATGAATATTAAAAGAAGAGTGCACAATTAATAATATTTGATAATATTTACGTGGATTGGGAAAGTTCTTACCAATGTTATAAAAGTCAAAGTTGACAATATATATGCACGTCGTGCAAATGATATAAGAGTAAATTTGGTTTTATTTGTTTTATACAATTTATCCTAATGAAGTGACTTATAAATTTTAAATAGTAATCAATTTTATGATATAAATGTGATGACGAGTAGTACAAGATATTTTGTACCGTCTTAATTTTTCTTTCCTACCGGATTGACTCCCAATGTAGTGATGTTATGTCACCTGAGGCCACCGTCAATGAAATTGACATCCAACTAGCATAGTAGCATGGCATGGCTCCAGTTGTTAACCGACCACAATTATTAATTCCAAGAATGGGCTGACCTAAAATATCAGCCACTCCCTTGTGGAGGTACCTACAAAATTTAAGTATAAATGTTTTGACTTATTAGTACAACGCTTTCCTCATTTCTTCCATAATTTTTTTTTTTTAAATATGAAGTTAAAGGTTCAAGTATTAGTTAGGAAATCTACATATATATATATATATATAAGGAAATTAGAATTGCAGTGTTTATCTATATAAGCACGAACTTGATGCATAGTCAATGGATGTTCAAATATTCTGATGTTCTTTATGTAATTGGTTCTAAATAAAGGAGGGTTGTGCCAGATAACTTGATAGTGGACGTAAAATTTTGCCATGTGCAATTCATACAGTAGAACAGAAATGCATTATTCATATAACCGATCCTAAATAATTTTATAGCCAATGATTGCACCGGTAATGGTAGGTTCCAAGTACATTCTTATAATGTAACCAACTCCCCGAGGGAGCTAGAGTTTTACATATAAATAATGTCGAAGGATGCATATGTTTTCAATAGTCTATAAGATTCCCTTCACCGGCTTTATATATACATAAACTAAAATAACAACTGTTAACAAATTATACCAAAGATGGTCTGCTTGTTAGGCTTTAGGCTGAACAAGGGACCGTAAATTTATAGCAAAATTAGGAGAATTTTTTTTTAAAGAATATTCCACATGTCATGGTACCAACCTTCAAAGTTATGATTTTCTTTTCAGTTTGGTTCAAAAAAAAAAAAAAATTGCTCAATTGGTCATCCCCTGAATTATATTCGGAACATTATTAATGAGGTCATTTGGAAAGTACCAAGGAAATGAAACAGAAACAAGAACCAAAGTTTTAACTCTAATCAACATAGAGCAGTGGTTTTCACCATCCCACTCCACTAAAACAAAGTAATCTTACAACAAAAACCAATGTAATAAATCACAGGCTGACAGTGGCGTTGCCAACTCTGTCTAAGCCCTCCATTAACCTTCTTTTTGCAGACTTGGTTCTGTAACACCATACCTCAAAAGCCTCACTCAGATCCGGATACTTCACCTGCTCGGCTTTCATCCAGTCTGTGAGAATATCCGCCTGATCATTTGACGGCAATGCTAGTACCAATGAGACAATTGCGCCCTCAATGCTCTGGCATAGGTCTTCGTCCATCTTGTAAGGAAAACCAGCATCCTCGTTGCCCTTCGAATCCAGAAGAGGCTTTATCTTCCTTATATAAGGTAGCCACGTCTTCAACAGAAGCACTCTGCATGGTGCCGGAATAATTACATTTCCATAGCCCACGGCTTCCAAGACCTTTGCAGTCACTTCTATTAGCTTTACTTTAGAACCCCACATGAAAGAATCAAGTTTCTTGTCTTCAACAACACCCAAAATGTTACCAGAGATTTCCGCCCACTTCGCAACAAAATCCTTCATTAAATCAATCTTTGGGAGTATATTACACATCCATTCAAGATCGGATAGACACTGGATTATTTTATTCTCTGCTGTCTCGGATGTGAGGTCAGACTCCAAAAGAAGCGAAGACAACTCCTTTTCAAATGATGAACAAATCTTGGAAAGACCCATTCTCATCTCCACTCTAATTTCGTCATCACCCGTAACTAGCGGAGTTTCTTCATCTTCCCCAAGCATGTATTCAACTTGCTCTTGAGCAGAAGTCTTAAGCTCATCACCAAATGGAGGGCACGGTCCACTAATGGATGTGGCGAAGCGAATTGCGGATAAAAGAACATTTTTAGTGTTGCTTAAATCAACTGGTTGGATCCTGGCCAATATGGGCATGGCTATAGAGCCCAGTTTTGAAACTGCTTTTAGAATCTCTTCCTCTTCTTTGTCCTCCCAAGGAACAGCCTCTAAGTACTGGATACAGCTTTGCGTAATCTCTTCACAGTGGAAGGCAACTGCAACCTGAAGAATTCCAACAGCAGATTTTACAGAGTCCCAGGACTCCAGAAGCAAGTCGGAAGGGAGATAGAGACGGCACAAAAGGTCAACCAGATTATTATAATTAAAATCTGAACAGTTAATGTCGATGCAAGTATCCGAATTTGGATTGCAGAGCCTATCTGCAAAGAACTTGCTCTTATTTTTTAGAACAAATGAATGGGAGTAGAACACTTCACGTCTTCCTTCTTTATTTCTCAAGCGTACAATGATATCACTTGTACTCTTATCATCAAGCTTGAAAGAGTTGGCAACTTTTCCTTTGTCCATGTATAAAAGGAAAATGATCCAATAAATTTCATGCTTTATGCAACAGGAATATTCCTCTCAATTGGCATATGACTGAGTATAAAGACGAAAAGAGAGTAAATAAATAACAATTCTAAATCTGTTAGAACCAAAGTTTAATCTAAAATGGCCTCAAATCACGAAGATCGCAGCTATAAGTAGCTATCTAATAAACATAAACCCATGGATCTCTCATGCAAGTAAGATAATAAAAGTTGACAAAGATGAAGATAACTTAAATCTCAAGGCGAGTGGAAAGAAGAACACTCTAAAATTCTACAGCTCAGTCCTTCAATGCTATAATGTTTCAGTCCCCAACACATTAGAGGCAGAGAAATTATTATTATTTTTAAAAAATAAAAAATAAGAAAAAATTCCTACACATTACTCGTCTTCTTTAGCCAATTAGATCCTTGCCAAGGATGTTCAATATAGGGGCTAAGGCAAGATGAATTAGCTCATTAGAATGTATCCGATTCAAACCATGGTAGCACCACAATGGGCCAGAAAAGAACAAAATAAACATCTGATTTAATTCATTATAAAATAATAAAAAAAGGCATCGAGGCTGTTGTATTGCATGGTTGACCATTTGCAATATTTACTTCTTCCAAAGAAAAGACCATCTTTTGGTCAACAGCATTTCATATGCAAGCTGTTGCGTAACAGTGTCATAGACTCATAGGCACCAATTTTCCTAATGTGTGGGTGCACTCGGGCATTTGAAACCCGGGCAAATGTCAACCCCCAAACTTGGTTCACTCTAGCAACAATTTTAACTTCTTTAGAATAGCTTCTATTTGTTTATGTAAAAAGGTTGAAGTTTGATAAAAGATCAAAGAAGTGACTTCACTGAAGCTTATAAAATGAGTAAAAGACCAAAACCATGGTAGATGAAGAACAAATAATAAACCAAAAACAGAAAACCTGTTCTTAAACAAATGTCTTCATCCAGAATAATGTCTCCTCATAAAAATGCCAATCTCCAAAAGGAGAAAAACAAATACAAGTAACATCAATAAAACAAAACAATTTACATGTACAGTGAAAGAAAAATAAACTCAAGCTTATTGACACCATGTTATATAAATTTCAATCCAAGGGACAAGGTGATATTCTTAGCACAATACATATATATAGATACAACAGAGTGTGAAACTACAATCCATTAAAAACTATTAAGAGGATTCTAAGCTCAGAAGGTAACTTTAAATCAGCACAGCAGAGAACACCAAAAGACCAATCACTCAAGAAATACTATTAGTAGGCAACAATTTTGTTGAAATGCTCAATTGAACACTATATTAACCAATGGGCATCAAATAAAAATGAAATTTCAAAAGGATTGATGAAGAAAACCTAGAGAAAGGAGTTACCTTGACAAAGCCCTAATTGTTCAACCATGGAGGAGCCAGAAATCCCAGAATTCACTGCACGAAAGCGATTCTGTTAAAAGGGTTTTGTTTTTGAAATCCCAGAATCATAGAGAGTTCAAATGAATTAAGCAATAGTCAAGAGATTAAGTATAAGTGAAAGGAAGGGTTAGGGTTTTACAAGGTAGGCTCTCTGCTCCAGATGTGAGGAAGTGGAAGGATTGCGGAGGAAGAATGATTTCATGAGATGACAGAGAAGGAAAAGGCTAAAATCTCAAATGACAGATATATCCTTGGAGTACAACTGCACAAGTGTAGGACACGAAGGGCATTCTCGTTGAACTAGTGACAAATATGCCTGTAACTGGTAACAAATGACTGGCCAATGCCAGTGTTTTTGTTTTTGATTAGATTAGATTTTTTTAAATTTAATAAACTAATTTTAATTTTCAACAATAACTTAATTATATATATATATATATATATATATATATATATATAATAAACTGTTGGATTAAAGTTTCCATGGTTTGTTTAGTTCAACTTGCACAAGTTGGAAGCGTCGTGACAATATTTTATTACTGACAGCAGAGAACTAATACGTTTAGAGAGACGAAGGTTTCATTGTCCATAAATGAGGGTCCCTTTCGTCTAATAAAAATAGGATGTTTTCTGTAATTTAATGAGATAATAAGAGTAATAATGTGCATTATTGTCACTACACCCATTTTTTAAAAAACAGTAATTTGGATTGTAAATTTGTAAGTCATATATCATACCAAGAAACCATACAACTATTTTTATAAATTTGATCAAAATACTTTACAAATATTTCACACCTTATGCTAATACGATAAAGGATATGTAAGTTTGGGTTTAATCTAAACTTTGTTCCGTGTAATTGTATATATTTGAATTAAACGTGTCATATTCGTGTTTATTCTGTTAATCCGTTTATGCTCAATTAATCGGTTTAATAAAACGTGTCAAATAAATCGTGTTGTGTTCGTCTTAAAAATGACCCATTTAACTAAATGTGTCGAATAAATGTATGGTGTTCATATAAAAAAATGACTTAGACGTGTTTTAACGTGTTGTATAATTCGTATAATACTCATGCCATGTTCATATCAAGAAGATTTCTTGACACAATTATTAATGGTATTGTATCCATATTGATCCATATTGTTAGGATATGTGTGCCCTAGTATAGCAAATTCTAATTTTGTATTGTAAAAGTCATGGTTTCTTATCTGGATATTATTATTAAAGCATTATACAATTGGTGAATGAAATGTATTATTTTTCGATTCTTTATGGAATTGATGGTGTCCGCTTGATTACAAAATATATTTATATATGTATGTAATGGCAATTAATACTATGATATAAATTAGTAATCATAAATGGTTTAAAGTCGGTAATTATGGATGGACATTTAATTAGTTAAGATTTAAACCGAGTCCACGATAGATTGAGATATATTGCAAGAGCTGTCGTATGCAATTGCTCTCTATCACAGTCATGACTTTTGACTCTCAAGCATGAGAGAAGTATAGACTCTTTTATTAATTAATAATTACTTTGATTTGTTCGGCGGATACTTCGGAATCCTTAGATCGACACTTTGGGTAGTTATGTAATTAATAATTAGAGGTCTATATTCTCAATATCTGCATAAATGCTATTTGTATTTATTTTATTTTGATTATGGTTGATCACAAATTAAATTCGAAGGCCTTCGTATGTTTTAGACAAATGTTTTATATATATATTTATTTAATAAATTATTATTATTTTTTGTCAAATAAATATTTTATTGTGATCGAGCCGGAAATAATCAAAGGTAACAAAATAATTATATTAATAATGTTGTCGAATTGATGGCTTTAATTATCCGATAAATAATTACGCATAGAGGGGTCAAAGTGCATCATTGACTTAGAGGTTTTTTTTTACTATTTAATTGGAGTGCAATTAATTTCTTTTAGTGGAGTAGAAATTAATTTATGAATTAATTGAATTGGGTCCATGGTTTAATGGACCGGACCAATTATTAATTTATAGGAGCCAAGAAAATAGTAAGCCCAAAAGGATTCTCACCAATAGCCCAAGTTGATATTGGAGTCATGTTAGAATTGAGAAAGTTGAATTAGAGATGGAGAATGATTTATTGTTTCCTTATTCTTATTTTTATTTTGCCTATATATACATGAGTTCATGTATATTTTAGGTGTGACTTTGAGAACAAGAAAAAGGAATATACTTTCTCTCTCTAGATTTTAGGGTTTTGTTTTCTCTTCTAAAGGAGGCTACCACCAGCCTAGATTCTAAGGTCATTCATCAAGGCATATTGGTGATTTCTAAAGGGAAGATAATAATCAAAAAAGAAGGAGAAAGGATCTTGCTAAAGGGATCTACAATAAGTGAGAACATTCACTTTAGAGGAAAGTTCAAAAGGTTTACTCAGACCTTTAATGTAAGTATTCAATCTGTTTATTGAATTATGCATCATCTTTTATTTATCTTTGCATAAAACTTGTCTCTATGTAATGAATCAAGATCTATGATTGCAAATCCCTTAACAAGTTTTAAAAACTTGCACGTTTCCCAACAGTGGTATCAGAGCACATGGTTTGATTCATTACTAGAGAACATGTGTTTATAAAAATCATATTCATGGATCCAAATTTTATATACATATATAAAATTATTGATATATGTTGATGTATGATTTATTATGTTGATATATATTAATACATGATGATGTATGTATAATTGTGAATGGATGATGATGTGTGTTTGGGTCATGGATGAAGCTTATAGGTATATAGAATGTAATTTTATTTTTGGATGAATGTAATTAAGGCTTTGTTTTAGCCGTTTGAAAATTCAATGATGTAATTTAATTTTTTTCATTGTATTTCAAATTGTAAGTATTTATTAAAGTTATGTAATATTCATCAAAGGATGCTATGAAGCTTCAAGAGAGTCCGAAAGGGTTAAATTATGTTTCAGTAATTTTCTGGAATTTTTCTGAATTTTTCAGGAATTTTTTGAGGCTTAATTTAATTTTCAGGGATTTTTCCGGATTTTTTGGAATTTTTTCGGCGTTTTTCCGGTGGCCGGAGCTTCGCCGGCGGTGAGAAGGGGCGTCGGAGGTGGCCCGGATCACATGTGATGCAGGTAAGGTGAGCCTGGCGCGTGTTCCTCACGCGCCAGGAAGTGGCATATAAAGGCACATGCTGGCGCATGCATTGCACGCACCAGCCAAGGAGCTTAGCCCTCTACTCGCGTGAAGGCGTGTGGAGGCGCGTCCCACGCACCCCAAGTGCGTGGGGGAGCGTGGGAGCGCGTGCCGAGTCTTGCAGCCTGCCCTAGGCGCGTGCCAGTGTGTGTGGGGTCCTCCGGGCTCGTTCCAAGCGGCGTTTTGCTTCCCCTGACGCGTACAAGCTTCCTATGGGTGTTTACAGACAGTTGAAGGACGCCCGTACAGTAAGAATAGTTTTTAAATGTTAAAAGCTGAATCCATTGACCATTTATATTGCTTCTGTCTATTATTTGATGCATGGAATAATTTAATGTTTATTATAATTGTTCATGCATTGGATCCATGATTTTTTAATTAAATGGCTTGATTTATATTAATTAAATTATGAAGATAAATTGGATTAGATTGCTAATTAATTTGAGGGCATTTATTGAGAAACAGAAAAATTATTTTTGTAAATTATTTTTTGCCTCAAATTAAATATTAGTGAATTATTTAAAATTCATATATTTTCTAAATTTAATTGGATTAAAATCAAGGCGTTTTGCATGCATTAAATCATGAATTGAAAACCCTAGTTTTATATTATTAAAAATTGAGTGGGAGCGGGGATTTTTTATACATTACCCCATGGTCTTCGTAATTATAACCATTATGATTAGATCTTTAAAAATAAGGCTCCACGCATGATTTAAAGAGTCTAGATTATAAGAATGGTTGTTTCACGAAAATATATTTATTAAATAACCATTATAGTTAGATCTTTAAAAATAAGGCCCTACGCATGATTTAAAGAGTTTAAGCTATTAATGGCAATATATTTAATATTTGTTTTTCCGTTGGAGCATTAATTATGTTATACACTCAATCTAAAATCAATAGTATTAGCTCCCCAACGGAGTGGTCTATACTAGGTGATTTTAGAAAGGCTAAATCTAATCGGGAATTATTTCATATATAGATAAGGCATTGTCTAAAGAGATATGGAAATAATGAGTTGTTCTCGTCAATAAGCAATAATGAATTCCGCCAACCGGATAAGTTATTGGCATATTGATTGTCCGATTTTTCATGCAATGTGGTTAAGGGACCCACAATTAATTAATTAGTTTATACTTGCATGATTATTATTATTCACTTTATTTATTGTATGGATGTTTTTTTTTTTTTTTTTTTTTTTTTTCCAGATTTATCATGACTAGTCCATTCAGTCCACTTGCAAACATACTAAAAGAAAATCGATTAACTGGACCTAATTATATCGATTGGAAAAGGCAACTAGATATTGTACTCACATATGAGGGGTTGAATTATGTGCTTACTACTCCCAGACCTTCTCCACCTTTGCCTGGGGATCCTCCTGAGGAGCATGAAGTTTTTAAGAAATGGAATAAAGCAGATGAGATGACTAGGTGCTACATTCTTGCTTCACTGTCGAATATACTCCAAAGTCAACATCTTCAATATCTCACTTCTGCAGACATCATGCTTAACCTTAAGGAAATGTTTGGGCAAATTGGTAAGAGTGCACGCCAAAATGCTATGACAAATTTGATGACCATTAAGATAGTCCAAGGTACTTCAGTTCGGGAACATGCTTTAAAAATGATTGGTTTTTTAAATGAACTGGAAATCCTTGGATGCAACTTGGATGGTGAACTTCAGGTTGACATGATTATCGCTTCATTGCCAGACTCATTTAACTCTTTTAGGGTTAATTATTATATGAATAAGCTTGAGTACACACTCGCTGAACTATTGAATGAGTTGGTAACCTTTGAAGGGATAAACAAAAGCAAGGGTGCATCTATCAACTACACTCAGTCTGCTGGACCATCGACTTCTAGGCCCAAGAGGAGGGGCAAGAAAAAGAAGAAGGATGGTGCCAAAACTGTGGTTGTGCCAAACAAAGTAATCCAAAAGGATAAGGGAAAGAAGAAAGTGCGGGTTGAAGGCGAAAGAAACTGCTTCCATTGCGGTCAACCGGGTCACTGGAAACCTAACTGCCCAACACTTCGCACACAAGGCAAAGGAAAAGGTATATT